CAGAAACCGCTCTTTTTCAAGGACAGCTCTTATCAGGACTGGCTTGCCCAAGGTCATCCAGCCAAGTGCAAGTGGAGGAGTGGGGAATCAAACACGGTTCTCCCAGATTAGAGTCTGCGCACTTAACCACTGCACCAAACTGGCTCTCTGTAGGGGAGAAGATATGCTGTGACTGGGGAACACAGTTATTTCTGCGAGATCTTCAGGCCCCACAGGGAGATTGGCAACTCCAGTGACTGTTTAAGGGAAAATTGGAATATGTATTTGTGATGACCTCCTATTGGGGACGACTAGATTTTACTTTAAATTAAACTTTATGTTTATAAAATAGGTAGTTCTGGCTGCCACCAGGCATTTTCTAAATTCCAACTCCCCTCTCTGCTTCTGGTTTTGGTATTGTGACCCAGGGTCTTGGCTTTCGAGGATCTATGTGGTCCTGAGGAATAATGGATCAGGCTTCTGGGATAAACTTAAATAAAAAGGATTTATTGAAAGAACAAATTAAGAGGTTGTTTAAACTGTAACTGTTTAGGAAATAGGTATGTGTAAGTATGTATGTCAACTGTATCACATAGGCTATTCTCTTTGTATCTTTAACTCTCTTTAAGAACTGTAGTTTCACTTTACAGATATATACTGCTTTCTCTCTCTGACTCCACACAGCACTGACTTCACATAGAACTGATTCCACTCAGAACTTTCAGCTCGTGCTCTCTCTCTGACTCCACACAGCACTGTCAGACCTCTCACTGACTGAAAATCCAACTGCACAACATCAACTGCTTTTTCTCCAACTGTCATTATTCCAACTGTCATTCTCCAATCTCTCACTGACACACCCACACAGATCCACACAGAATAACTCCTCTCACACTCTGCCATCCACCAATCACAGCACACTAGTTACTATCAAACATTTAAAGGGACACACACACTCTCAAACAAGGAATCATTATAGTATTTTACCTCAGGACACATTCAATGAGGGCGATCTGGCTGCGATATCTGTCACCCCATTGATCGCCAGGGTTGACTCCCAACAGCAACAGCAAACTGTTTAGAATGTTAGAGGCAAAGGCCAATCAGGCCACATATGCAAATGACCTCTGTGTTCCGACTGGCTATGGGGGGGAGAAGAACAGCAAACTGTTTAGAATGTTGGAGGCAGGCAATGCAGCCAGTGGATAGGGACAGCTTCTGAGTGACACATCATGAAGTCAACTGATTTAGGAGCGTGTGGAATGTTCAGAAAGTGCCACCCCACTTTACAATTATATATAAGGAGAGATGCCTCAGTTGCCTGGGGTTGAACCAGTCAAAGTGCTGTAGTACAAATGACTCAGTCTGGTTCTTGTTTTTATTTAAAAATATCCCATTTCTTCCCTTCTAGTTACTAGCTCCTTTTATTTGAGGATAATCTAAGAATCTTGGGGGGGGGGGGGGGTTTGTGCATGCATACTCTGTGTGTGCATGTGCGTGCGCACATGCATGTCCATGTGTGTTACTGCATGCATACAGGTGGTTGGAAAGCAGGTCTCTGTTGTATCAAAGTTAAAAGAAACACATTTCCATTTCAGATGGCTTTATCTTTAGGTCCAAAGAGAAACACAGGTGTACAAATGTATTATATGAAGATGTAACTTTTAAAAAAAAAAGTTTTTCCATGATGCACATGGGTGGCACATGAAACCATCTCTGAAACTAAAAACCAATTTGGAAAAACCAAGTGGGGGACCTGCAAGGACTTGCAGGGAGCATCTCTCTTTCCCCTCCCCCATTATTTCCTCCAACAGGCAGACCCCATATCCTCCCCCTTTTCCATGCTTTCTCTTCCCACTCACCAACCAACCTTTTAGCTGCCCCTTTTTCATTTATTCCTCTACATATCTCCCCAGTGGGGACCTAAAGCAGCTTACATTGTTCTCCTTTCCTCCATTTTATTCTCACAACAACCACATGAGATGGGTTACTCTGAGAGTGTGTGACTGGCCTAAAGTCACCCAGCAAACATCCATGGCAGAGTGGGGATTCAAATTCAAATCTGGGTTTCACAGATACTAATAACCGCAGCACCACACTGGCTATAATGAGGTTGGTGCTGTTGAACAGTAGCGAGCAATTACGCATGGGCGAGTCCTGCAAATTGCATGGTAACAAGTTGCCTAGTGGTTACCGCAGGGCATGGACCTGATGATTCCTCTTTACAAGGCACTTAGAAGAGCCCTGCCCTCTCCCACCTGCCTTTTACTGATAGAAGCCAAGACCTGAAGGCTGGCAATGCTGTTGTGGTTGCCTAGCAACCTCCACAACATCACTGAGCGGGCATTTGTTTCTTAAAGCTACAGGTGCTTCTTCTAGTATTTTTTTGAGGGGGAGGGTTGACCCCCCATGTATTTTTGTTTTTAGATTTCAGATTTTTCTGTAAACCTGGGGAATTTTTCAGACTTCTTGAAAGAACTTTCTTGTCTGTTCTGGGCTCCAGTCTCTGGATTTGTATCCACAGATGTGGCCATTTTGAGAATTAATATACTTATAAAAGCTAGTGAGATCTCAGACTAGTATTTTTGCCATCTGGAACTGCCATTCTTAGATTTGAATATTTCCTCCAAGATCCACGTATATTAGTGAATGTCTAATGATGTTGAGAAGAATAATGTCTTGCATGGGGGGGGGGATTACCTTTTGGTGAGTCAGTTTGGTGTAGTGGTTAAGTGCGCGGACTCTAAACTGGGTTTGATTCCCCACTCCTCCACAGGCAGCTACTGGATGACCTTGGGCAAGGTATAGTTCTGTCAGAGCTGTTCTCTCAAGGACAGTTCTTGATAGAGCTCTCTCAGCCCCACCTACCTCCCAGGGTGTCTGTTGTGGGGAGGGGAAGGGAAAGGAGTTTGTAAGCCACTCTGAGACTCTGAGTGAAGGGTGGGGTATAAATTCAATCTATTCTTCTTCTTTTGAATGTATCCCCACTTTCTGCACCTCTTTATTTGGAGTCGGGACTTCTACAGCCAATAGGGTCTCATTTCCTCAATTATTCCTCCAGGTATTCTTTCCAGGATGAAGAAGACATGTTCATGGTGGTGGACCTGTTAATGGGAGGAGACTTACGCTATCATTTGCATCAGAATGTCCAATTTAATGAAGCAGCAGTGAAGCTGTATATCTGTGAGCTGACCCTGGCCCTTGACTACCTGCAGAGTTATCGTATCATTCACCGGTAAGTGAACAGCCCTGAAGTAAAAAAAAATAATTCCAACTGAGGTCACAGCAGTGATTTGTTGGGGATTTTGTCTAGAGAGGCTGGGACAAGCAGATGATTTGCATAAGAGTCCCTTGCCTTTGCTTCCTCTGTTAAGAAATACGGTGACCTGTTTGAGTACCACTCTCACTCTCTTGGTTTGTTGTTTGGGGGCAAGCAGAGTGGGAGAAGGAAAAGGAGGAGGAGCACACTTGCTTTGTTGAGCAGGAATGGGAAATAGAACACAATTTCAATCCTTCTGTGGTACTGCTCTCAAATTCCAGCTCTGAGAATTTCCTCTGATTCTGTTAAATACTGTGTTCTAGATGCATTGCAGTGATCAGCTCCAGTTTATCAAGTGATTTCAGTGAACTACAAGGACAACTAGCAGGGCTTGAGCCCTGCTTATAAAGCATGCGAACACCACACCCAACACATACCCACTCCCAGTGATAGGCTATTTACATTACACTACTTATCTATTGGTTTACTCCAGGATCCTGGTGAGCTATTGTTCTAAATAGTACAGCTTGAGGAACAGCTGTGTCTCAATACATAACACCCCTCCCCCCTATGTTCCAAAGCTTCTTAACAAACAAAGTCTCTTAAGTAGGCTGGTTTGCATTGTTCACGGGTTGAACATCACAGTTCAGAGGGGTTGCAGTCTCTGGGTTGAGTCCAACATTGCTGGTATGATGCTGGCAGACGGTAGCAGCATTGGCATGACATCAAGACAGTCTGTGTCTGCTTGCTCAGGTGCTGCACCTGCTGTTCACTGTCTGGCTGTTCACTGCCCACTGGAAGCTCCCTCACGGGCTCTGGTTCCTGTGGCCATGGCAGCTCGGCATCGTAATCTTCTGAGACCGCTGACAACAACTCTGGTTCAGCTGGGAGGAGACGGCAGTGGAGCTGGTCTATGTGCCTACAAAGGACCTAACTGTCATCAGTAGACACCTCGTAGGATAGGGGTCCAGTAATTCGGATGACCTTGGTGGGAATCCAGGCAGGACTGCTGGAAACGTTCCTCGCGTAGACAGATATCAGGCTCCTGGTTCGATCAACTCATCGTCTCATAGACTTTTATAGAAAAGCTTTATTAAAACTAAGAGTAGTGATACACAGAGAGATGCTTTGTTCAGACTGATTAAAACATCTAAGATTACATTTCCCCCTTCTCATCTCTCCTTCCCTGGGTTTATGGCAGATCGGGCTGAAGGATCAAATAGGCATTTGGCAGAGTCATTTACATAGCAGGACGGTGCCCGACTCTGACATACTGCCCGCCCTAAACAGGACCTCCCCCCCCCGGTTTGTCAGGGAATGCCCTATGGAACCTCCGAACAAGGTGAGGGGCGCGCACATGACGCGCGGCCACCCATTCATTCTCTTCCGGACCAAACTCCTTCCATCGGACCAAATAGTGGAGGCCTTGCCCGCTCGGCTGGTCTCCCCCTCCCTTGCTTTGCTGCGAGTGAGATGGACCACACACCCCCCCGCCCAATTGCACTGGGGAGAAAATAGTGTCCATCACCTCCTCCCTCTGACTCGCGTGTTGCGGCAAACGTGACAGAGCATTAACAAGGAAGTTCGCCTTACCTGGCAGGTACTTAATCGTGAATTCTGCCCATCTGACCTTATTTGCATTCAGCCTTCTAGGCATACGGAGGGCTTCCAAATTCTTATGATCTGTCCACACCTCAAACAGCACCCTTGCCCCTTCCAGCCAATGGCGCCAGGTGCATAAAGCCAAACGCACTGCTGCTGCTTCCTTGTCCCACACTGCCCAGTTGCATTTGGCCCCTGAGAACTTTTTGGACACATAAGCCAACGGGTGCAACTTTCCATCGGGGCCTTTCTGTAAGATGGCGCTGCCCATCGCGAGGTCCGATGCATCAACTTGGACAATAAATTGTTTAGTCTCGTCAGAATGATGCAAAATTGGTTCGGAGGTGAACAATGTCTTCAGTGCCTCGAATGCCTGTTGGCACTCCTGGGTCCAGTGCAGTTTGCATGAACCTCTAACTGTGCTTGGGCCCCTCCCCTTGGTTTTCAACAAGTCCCTTAGGGGCAGAGTTACCTGTGCAAAGCTCTGGAGGAAGGTTCTATAGAAATTGCAAAATCCTAAGAAACTCTGCAGTTGCCGCCGTGTCTGGGGGTCCTCCCACCCCAACACATCCTGGACCTTTCCTGGATCCATCCCCAGCCCCTGCTGGGTTATGCAGTAGCCTAGGAACTCGATCTCTGTCTTGTGGAACTCGCATTTAGATAGTTTAGCATAGAGGTGGTTCTCGCGCATGAGTTTCACATGTGAGTCCATATCTTGCTTGTACACAAGCACATCATCTAAATACGCCACCACCCCTTTGAACAGATGCTTGTGTAGCACCTAGTTTATTAAGTTCATAAAAACTCTCGGCCCGCCACTCAATCCAAAAGGCATCACCAAGTATTCAAACTGCCCTAGCGGCGTGTTAAACGCTGTCCTGTATTCATCCCCCTCCCAGATGCGCACCCTGAAATACACATCGCGTAGGTCCAGCTTGGTGAAAAATCACCCCGTCACTGCCTCGGCAAGCAAGTCTTTGATCAGGGGGAGGGGGTAGGCATTTGACATGGAGACGGTATTCAGGAAATCGGTGCACTATCTCAAGCCCCCGTCCTTTTTCTTCCTGAATAAAACAGGGGCAGTGAACGATGACTTAGCTGGGCGGATGAAACCTCGTTCCCGGTTTTTATCTATGAATCTCCTTAGTTTCCTCCCGCTCTGAGGAGTTCATAGAGTACAGTTTCCCCTTCGGCATCTTGTGCCCCGGGAGGATTTCTATAGTACAGTCAGTATTCCGATGTGGAGGTAATTCATTCATTTTTTTCTCTTCAAAGACTTTCCTTAAGTCACGATACTTGGGGGGGGGGATGGCTTTCAGCTCCTCTCACGCCAAGCACACTTACTCCGGCACCTGGTTTGGCTCTGCTGTTAGCCTAAACTGCCCCCCATTTTGGGTCCCACTGGTGTGCCTTGCACCGGGGGTCTAGGAAACCAGGGTTTCCCAAGTACCATCGGGAACTGAGCCGTGGGATGCACTATGAAGCTTTGTAGTTCCCAGTGTCCCCCCCCCACCCAAATGGGCAATTTTACAGTCTGATATTGGCACGACTGCATCGTGGTGCCATCCAACTGGGAAAATACTACTGGCTCACTTAATTTTACAAGTGCAGCCCCGAGTCCAGTTACTAACAAGGGGCTGATGAGGTCACACGAGCACCCGGAGTCTATGAGGGCACGCACTCGGATGGAAGTGCTCACGTCGGGATTCAGTACAGTCACAGTAGCAAAAAACAGGGAAGACCCATTTCTCACCGAATCCTGCGCCGGTGTCTGGGGGACCTGCTGGTTGGTGGATGTCAGGCTCCTGGTTCAATCAACTCGTCGTCTCATAGTCTTTTATAGAAAAGCTTTATTAAAACTAAGGGTAGTGATATACAGAGAGATTCTTTGTTCAGACTGATTAAAACATCTAAGATTACATTTCCCCCTTCTCATCTCTCTTTCTCTGGGTTTATGGCAGATTGAGCTGAAAGATCAAACAAGCATTCGGCAGAGTCATTTACATAGCAGGACGGTGCCCGACTCTGACACGGAGTCACTGGGGGGAAATCCTCTGGGTGCCTCTTGGCTCTCTGGAGATGGGTGGTGCTCTGGGGCCCAATCTGGGTGCAGCCTGTCCAGTTGGGTGGTTAGGCACCTGCCCATGAGGAGTTCCATGGGGCTGTGGCCAGTGGTGGTGCTCGGGGTCACTCGGTGGCCAAAAATGAAAGCCACAAGTCTATGGTCCCAGTCTCTGTGGACCATCCACCAGAGGGATCCTTCATCATTTGCACCATCCTCTCTGCTTGCCCGTTGGTGGCTGGGTGAAAGGAAGCAGAGCGGATGTGCCTGATGAGGTAGCGGCCCATAAATTCCTGGAACTCCCCTGAAGTGAAGGCTGTTCCGTTGTCCATCATGACTGTTGTGTATTCACTCCATCTAAACCTATGTTAAGCTTGAGACCTCAGCCGGATTCTAAGCTGAAACAACACCATTGGCTGAAGCATGTTATGTAACCAATGAAATGTAAGAGTCTGTGCTGGAGGGAAGACAAATGATTGGATGTTATCTTTACAATGTGATTGGATGTTAACAATGAGAGGGCGTGGCTACCCCAGCCCGGGAGAGTTTAAAAGGAGCTGTGCTCCACTGTTGTTTTGTGGTGTGTCGTCAGATGTTGTGTGATCTTGGAAGTTCTCGTTCGTTAATAAAGCTGAATCACTTATTACTTACTTCGTTGTTGAGTTGCATACTTAACAACGACTGTGTTGGGTAGGCTGTGTGCTGAAAATCCGTTGGAGGGTCCAGATCGCTGCCTTGGAGGCAATGGAGATGACAAGCACCACCTCCAACCGTTTGGTGTACGAGTCCATCAAAATGAAGAATATTTGCCCTTGGAAGGGGCCTGCAAAGTCCACGTGTAGCTGGGACCATGATTTCTGGGTGGATTCCCACTGCTGCACTGGTGCCCTGGGAGGCTCCGGTCGGGTTTCTTGACAGACCTGGCAGTGCTTGACACAGGCCTCTATTTCCCCATCCATGCCTGGCCACCACACGTAACTTCGTGCCAAGGCTTTCATCCTCACAATTTACTTTACTACAACTCCAGTTTGTTCCATTTACTTAAATTGTTTCTAAATTTTCTTCTTAAGAGCAGTTGGTGCTGTTCTTGGTGCATGTGTGCCAGGTTTTGCATCTGGTTTCAGCTGTATTGGGTACAATCCTGGTATGCAGCCTAGTTCTGTAAATACATCTGAGAATTGGTCCTTCACTTTTTGTTTATTTAACTCTGTGTCTTGTGTGTTCACTAGTCACTAGTCTCACAATATGTATCAGGTTCAGTTGTTTACTTGTTTCCTCCATAATGCAAAATGTAAGGGTATGCATAAATTAA